AATTTTGACTTTGACTATAAATGCATGGTAGTAACTAAAACACACGATATGTTTTCGTACGCTACGTCGGTTAAATACTTTTACTGCCAGTTCTGATTGGTGACGTTCCGAGTGGGAACCCATAACTGTTTCAGCGATTGATAAAGAATTCATGGCCGCAACAATAAAATATCGAATCGAAGATAAGGACACCGAGTCTACGGGAGTTTATATTGATATCTTCGACTTCAATGTAACAATCTTCGAGCTGTACGCTTCAGTACATTGTTGATTTTATATCGATTTTATATGTTTAATCATGGTGGCACGTCTGGCGCAGTGGCTGCTGCGCTGGCATAAAGGCTGCTGCGCAACGTGTCGCAGATTCGATTCCTGCATAGAACAAGCATTTGTACGGCCTACAGATAATTGTTTCGAGACAGGGTGTTCGATTCCCGCGGCGTGAAATACTTGTAGTCCAGTTTTTTTGCAAATTTTACAATAAATTATTGAAATCTATCTAGTTGATTTAAAATTATTGCGCCCACAATGACAGACGTCCACGATTTTATTTTTATACTAGCCGGCAAACGTTGTGTTGCCACATAATTTTTTTGTAGGGTAGAAAAAAATTGTTATAAATCTATTCTCATACCTACTGAATATACATATGAATATAATGAAAATCGGTTAAGCAGTTTCGGAGGAGTATAAACACAAAATTTGTGACACGATCATTTTATATATTAGATATATTCATATTAAATAAAGAAAGAAAGAAAAAGATTTATTTGACATAAAACAGAACAACACAACATAATAACAGTTTATATTATCGTTGAGCGCTTAATTTCGATTTTAACTCTCGACGCTTCTAACAGTTATTTACCATGGTACAATTGTACAACAACAAGTAATGGCTTTTATTATTGAAAATTTGGAAATTTATTAATGAATCGCCACATGAGACTTACGTTATGCATTGTGCTGTATCCGCGTAAATAGAAGAAATCTCCAAGTACATCCCGAGACGGAAGCAAATTATGAAAACTATATATACTAACTATATACATCTAACTTAAAAAGAACAGTAGAAATCGCAACTTAAGTTTCTTTACTTGTATTTCTCTTTTTTTTTTAAACATTGCCTGTGTTGTAAGGACGTTTTACAAACAACATTTTCACGCGGATAAACACCCAGATGCGAAACAACTATCTGTGGGTCACGCAAATAGTTGTTCCGTGTGGGAATTGAACCCACGACCCCCGACGGCGAAGCCAATACATTGGCAACTGCGCCACGGAGTCATCTAAAAACTTTATACTTAAAAAAAAAGTAAATAATACCTTAAGAGTTATTAGAATTTCAATATGAACCGCCATTATGTTTTCCATTCGCTGATAATAATAAACCTTCAGATTCCGTATTCAAACGTCAGACTAAATCAATTTCTTTTGCGACTAAGCAGAGAAAAAAGTACTGCGAAATTAAATATAACTCATTTCGTGTCTCTTTTCATAAGACCTCTTTTCTTAGAGCGACACAGTAAATAACACGATGCGTTCGTCTTCAACGATGCAAACGAAAAAGGACTTTACGCCGTTCTTCGTATAACCGAAATTTGGTTGCCGCTTGTAGGTTTTTTAAAGTAGCAGGATCGGTATCGAGTGAAAATTATCCACCCCAATCCCTTTGAAGCGATTTGTCGTGATCCAAGGAGTCTTTTGTTCCACTTCAAAGGTATTTTTCTGCGAGCATTATTATTACGCTTACACGGGTCGAAAGGATTTTAATACGATTGTTATTTTCGTGTTCTGTGTACACGTTTTTTTTTTTAAATTATTCGTTCGGTTCGCGGGAGATCAAGAAAATTTTAAATTTCGAATACAAAATGTGTTGCTTTTTCCTGTTTTTAATAAAATTTGATGCTATGTTTTGAAGAGTAAAGTAAAAAGTAAAATACTATATACTATAATAAATAATTTTACTTTCAGGCGGTAATGAGTTGAAGGTATTTTTTAAACTTAACTTAATGCTCATTTTCATAAGTCAACTAAAAAACGGTAAAAGATTGAGACATTGTAATTTATTAAACATATAATTTAGTCATATGTTATTCGCTTTTAGTGCGTACTTAAGAAATTTTATTAGGTAGTTATTAAAGTAAGTTTAAACAGTTTTCTGCAGCGATTCCTTGACGTTGTTTGTATTTGAATAATACAACATTGGTTCAATCAAATATGTTTTACGATTATTTGGCTACTTTCCTGAACAAACATCGATGCGAGTTCCAAATCAAAGTAGCGACTTGCATAATTTCCCGAAATATGTTTACAATACTTTCACTCAATTCTCTTTGATCTGTCCTTATTTAAATAGTGAATAAATCTATCGAATAGTTCGGCGGATAACCTCTTGTTTGTTCACTTCTAAAATATTTGAATACTTGAAAGATCCCAAATAACGCCAGAGGAATTTTAAATCTATTTATAAAATATACGACTCAATTCAAGACGTCGCCGTTCAAAAGTATCACAAATTGGGACATCGGTCCTCAATCGAATTTGCATCTTATTACCTACTATTTAAATATAAAATCATTTGCATCTAAATACAGAGGGCAGGCAAAACGGCGGGATTCGTAATTCGTTTTTTTTTTTTATTTACACGAAACTCTCACTAATGTAAATGATACCATTCGATTGATGCTCTGTCGCTAGATTATCAGGTGGGTCCGTCTCCTCTCCCTATCGCAATTATTGCAACTCGTATTTGCTTTCTCTTTCGCGGCGGTAACAGAGAAAAGTAATTTGTCGGTGGCGCTTTTATATTGTTGAGGGAAATTAAGTATAGCAAATTTATGCAGGCTTTAAAGCGTTTTAATGTTAAGAGGATCCCTATATACTAATTATGTTTCAGCTTAGGGTGGTTACCTGTGGTTCGACAAGGTTTAAATTGGATGCGCCTTGTCATCTGGCCATTGTAGACATCTGGTTGTATGGCATCTGGTGAATCCATGTTGGGAACATGGATTCACCAGATATAACACAGTGCATATTACTTTGAATGTATTCCTGTTAGTTTTGTTGGTTTTAGACGTTTTAAAGATATCTAATTCACTTCACCAGCGAATATAATTTAAACCCGCAATTTCTAATGGCTTTCCTAAAGAAAAAAAGATATCTTAGATATTTGACATTAATTTAAAATCTATAAACAAAAAATATAAGCGCACACATTAGTATAAAGTAATTTATTTATCGAAATATAAAAAAAACATTCCCATTCTATTCCAAATACAATATTCAAGGTAAAGTGTTATTTAACCTTTTTTTCCACAGACATCACTAAATTACTCTCCCACCCTTTGAATAAAAACAATCTTTTAGTTTTTGCTAATCTCTTGTATAAAGCAAAATAGCAGCTAATCTATACATACACAAATAAATAATATTGGAGTGTCTCTACGTATAGTAAAATAATATTTTTTACAATTTTTGTCTGTTTGTCTGTTTGTCTGTTTATTCCAGCTAATCTCTCAAATGACTGGACTGATTTTGACAGCAGATAGCTGATGTAATAAGGAGTGGGCTTAGGCTACTTTTATCTTAGACATTTTATTTATTTTAAATTCCACGCGGACGAAGTCGCGTGCACAGTTAGTGATAAAAATTAATCCTACTTTAAAATAACAACACTTATATTCAAAACCTATTTGCCGATGTTCTTACGAATAAGTTTGTTTAAAGTGTTAAATAATACTTGCTCTGTCTACTCCATTTGCGTTAAAAGACCCGTTTATCTTTGAAACAATCTCAGCGCATCCAGACTAGCACCGCCATATAAAAGCGTCATTCGAATTATTATGCCAACAATAAAATAGTCGAGTGCATCACTCATACGAATTACAACTAAATACGCGTTCACATTGCGCGATTTTAAAAAAAGGATAACATAATCGTGGTCGTCACGTTGAGGTATAATTTTTTTCTCTCATCCAAGTGCCCAAATAATATAACATTATGCAATTTAATTTAACTAATAAGAAATTTCTTATAACATTGTTCTCGTGTTTTCCAAAAGGTTAGCACAGATACAGTTATGTTTTAAGTAATAATTTTTTTGGCGAACTTAATGATAAGACTATTTTCTGTCCATCATTCATCAAGCAGTGAAAGTGTTCAAAATGAAACATTCAAAAGTATATGTAATAAAAAACCGTTCAAATTATTTACGCAGTTTAAATATATTATTGGCGACTATACATTGTGTACGCTAGATTTTTATCTCGCGAAACTCAGTTTTTAGGCGTTACGATTTTATAATCGTATGTAATAAAAGGTACTAAATCAGGGGCTCGTGCAATTCTCTACACTAAACTTTATGAGGGCATTGTTTTATTAATATCTATAAAAAGTGCTTCCCAGTACAGCATTTTAGTTCTTTTACAGCACTCACTATTTACAGTCCTTATTGAGTCGCTAAGTTTATAGCATTACGGCGAATTAGCTTCGCTGTTTCTTTAAAGAATGTTGATAGGGGTATGGCAACGGCAATATGGTTCGGTTTACAAGAGCTCGTATTGCTCGAATAATTTTTGTTTTCTATTTTATTACTCTTTAAGGCTCTATCTGTTTTATTTGGTCCTATTTTTAAATGTAAACTAAGAACCGCTGCATAAATTCCGATAAAATGGCGCCAAACATCCTCTCTGTCGTATGGTGTAAGACTTCAATGTTACACACATTAAATAGGATTTTTTTATGTGAGATCACCTTTAGAGACATTTACAAAACCCGTAGGGTTGCCACCTTACAATACAGTGGACCCCGATTACCTCACTCACCAGACGAAACGCAGTAGTGTAACACTTCCACTTCAAGCCGCTCTTGTGAGGTCCTGCTACTGCCCCAGACGGACCTGCCTATTCGTGCAACACTGAAGGCAGTGCTTTTCCCTACGGCAATTAGAATTATCATAAGTATTAAATTAAAACAAAACATTTTTTTCTTTTTTCCAGACGGACTCCGCATCGTCTAATGACACCTACCAGCCGGACAAATCGCCATCGGAGTCGTCGATCTTCTCATCGATAATACCAGACAAGTTATCGGGGTCTATATGCACAGCGGTCATATTCATGCTCGGATGGAAGCTTTTGGCCAACAAGCGGTGAACTGAATAATAGAGTACGCGGCCCTATTACCGTGTGTGATCAGGATAATTGCAACATTATTCAACAAATCACACATTCAAAAACACAAATGTCTCAAAGGTTTTAAATGACAGTAGCATTTTTGACTTGGCAACTTCGACAATGTGCGAACAGCCATTTTGTATACTCGTATTGTACTCAATATTACAATATAGACTAAATATATTAATCGAAATTGCTCGTCAAGAATCCAATAAAGTATGGGCATTGTTTCCGGTTAAATGAAATTTATGAAGACGTAAATGTATCAATTTTTTTTTGTAACATTTAATACGTTTCTATTTCTACTTCAAATTTTATATGATTTACTCGATTTTATAGAAAATCTGTGTGAAAAACGTATTTACGTTTTTGTTTTTGGGATTTTTATCAATAAAAAATTGTATAAATAAAATTATTCCAAATAACCGCTAAGATTTTTTGAAAGGCACGTTAATGGATGGTGAAAGGTATTTGCTGTATAAGAAATGACTTATGAATCAATTAAAAATTAGTATAGAAGTTCTTGTCAGCTGTCATTCGTTAATGGCGGGAAAAATAAAATGAAGTTATTGTTGTAAAGATTCTTTGCAAGAAAAGAAATTTTGTACATAGTATGTATATGTGTAATCAATTTTTTAAAATGTTTATTTAGCAAGAGTATTTATTGTAAGACCTCATTTATATCGGCAAATTGCTTTGTTAAAAAATTTTGATAAATTGCTTTTACATCCTTTCAGCACACGACACTTTCAAACAGCCATTTGTGTATATGGCGTTTTAGAAACATAATTTTTGTCTAAAATTATGTATATATCAAAAAAAATTGAGTTGCAAGTTTGCATATATAAAAAAATAAATAGAAATGAGTGAAAATTTACATAATTTTAAAAGAAACTTGCCGGTCTAAAAGTGGACTTTAAAGTTAAACAAGATGTTTACCCATTTACCCAATTGATTTAAACTAATATGGGAAATTTATAACATGTATAATACTTTTATAGCGTAATGCGTTAATGTAGTCCGCTTCTCATGTTGAGTATGATATTAAAATAGTGTATAAATTGGATTAATACATTTTACGCACATTTTATAACGAATGCCGTTAGCAAAATATAATAAATTGCATAATAATTGCAAATCATCTACGCGATTCTAATTGACATAACAAGTATAGGTAGGTAAAATACATTGCGTGCGATGAATAAAATCGATTATTCTTGTCACAGAGTATACATATAAAAGAATAAGCAAATCTTGTGACAGCTAGAGCGACGTGCATGCATACTGTGCGGTCATTTATATAGCTGTGTAAGATATGGTATCAAAATATGTTTGTTAAAAAAAGTAAGTTTATTATCTACAGTTAAAGTTGCTTAGTCATTTTTAAACCAAATTTGCCACTATCTTATATATAAAACAGCGTTTTCATACTGGTTTCCCTTGGGGAAAGGTGGCTAAGAGCTCTAGAGGTTAAGCCAACGCGGTCCATAGTCATCTGCCAAATCACAGTAACATGTACACAGTAAATGCGTGGGTGTCCTTTTGAATAAATAAAGACCTGGAGGATTCAGACCCATCACTAAACATCGGTCTTCTTGGAAACCGATAGAGTTAATTTGGCTTCGCTAGTTGAGTTGAAATGCAAAAGCTTTTTCCGTAAATTTTTATAACAAAATTATTGAAGTATTACTATGCGTAAAGATATTAGTCGAATGAAAATAATCTATCCTAAGCTCGTATCTCCATCTGTTATAACTAAAGCCTGCTATTATTAAATTGGCTATGATTTGAAAAATACTGCATACAGTACTTTTAATGAAATAAACAATAAAATAGAAAAGTGAAATAAACAGTATTTGCTTAAAATTCCTAATTTATATTTCACCGCACAGTACGTATGGAGCCTTATTTTTAAACATTCCTAAATACGGACCAGATGCGTTTGAGACGTGAAGATAAAAAAAAGTAATTATCTATATTTTAAAATTAAAAACACCTTTTCATTGTTCCAAAGAGAGCAGCCTAAAATTATCATCGATTGATCTCATTATATTATTTTTGTATTAAAAGCTTTTATATTAGATTTTAAATTAGCGTAATATATTTTAGGTTACGTGCCAAGCCGTATGAGAGTTTTATCCGAGAAGATCTATTTTAATATAATGGTTTATAGTTGTAAATAATTTGCCTAAATAATTATTTAGTGGAGGTTATCCGTCTTTCCGTTTCACAGCATTTTTTATTTAGATCCATCGACGTCCATTTTTGTACGAGTAACGAGACTGGCACAATTTTTTCAATTAGCGTATCTGTCCAATTCACAGATTAAAAATGTTTAAGCTATTGAGCGTTGACGTGAGATTTTACTGGGCCTGTTACCGGTTGGTTATAAGTAATTTTAAGATGTATTCGAATTAAGAAATAGGTATTATATGAATATAATATACGGTATAGTTCTCGCTAGCTGGTTACTCATTAAATTAAGTTGTTAGAGGCTTCGAATTTGTAATTTTCATATGTAGGGTCGGCCTCACTTTGTGTGACATGATTGGGGTAAAATTTCTTTACATTAAGCCCAATTATTGTAGGCCTCATTGCCAATGCTATTTTTCATTTTCTTTATTATAATTATAAAAATATAAGTTGAATTAAAATTATAAGACCATCGTTCAATATTATCTTTTCCTCATGAGTCTACAGAAATTTAAAATTTCGAATCGCGTTATCATTTTGAGTTTGAGTATTTTTTTAAAAGCGATTTCCATCATTTTACTCTGTCAGGGATCAACATGTGTATTGGGAACAATTTAATTTTTACCTGTTAGAATTATATTTTATGTTTAGTTTTTGATTTAAGTTAAGGAACAACAAATTACTGAAGGATGTGTTCAAATGTGATATGTATTTAGATGATAAAATAGATTTTGAAAAAAAAAAGTTTTCCTAATGATCTCTCGAAAACTCTTATTTGCTGTTGATTGTAACATTTACTTCGGTGTGCTAGTGAATATAGTGTTGTGTAGACGCATTTTATTATGGCCAAATGTAGGCAATTTATATAATCATACATTCTTACATTTATGTCGTTCATACTTTGTCATTATTACTCATGACATTTGTCTCAAAGTTCTAATTCAATTTCTCTTTGTGTCTAACTTGTACCAAAATTCTTTTTTGGTAGAAGTAACAAACAGAGTTATAACTTCTACCGTAAAACATACGTATGTTTAGGCACATACAAGTTTAACTGGAGGAAACTGCGAATGTCTCTGGAACCATTTCACTACATGTTGATTTATTTTATTACTTTTGATTGATATATTTTCCTTTAGGGGCTTTTACCAAAGCTAAATCACACAAAACTTAAAATTACATGTCTGTTGGCATAAACATCCGTCAGTTGAGTGTTTTTTTTTTTCGAAGAGCAAAGCCTGTTCTTCTTAGGTGACTATTTACAATTTTAAAAGTAATTACATTTTTTCCAACATCGCGATTTTAATTTTAAATGGTGGAGTACTTTGAATTAAATTGATTAAAAACGACTGACTTCTAAGCTCTTGCTAACGTAATGTGCGACATAATATTTGTTTAGTGCGTAGGTAAATAACATTTGACCTTCAAATTTCTTTTAAACCTCTTTCGTTACAGATAACGCCGATATTCTGTATGCACTGGCACATCGAGATCCCTTATTAATTCTATACAACGCAACATAAGAGTTTTGTACATAAATCTAAATTGGTATGCTTACGGCTCATTGATAAGGAATGTAGTGAAAATTTCTAAATTTCCATTAATAACGCTTCTTGTCTTCTTAATCGTCATGAATTGATGTGGACGCGTGGAAAATACAAGGTTATTACTTGGTTACACTTTAAGGTCGAATCTAAATTGGATACTTTAGCTATTTTCCAGAGCTCAAATCAATATCTCAATCTTGACGGTAATATTTTCTTCTTTTACGGTGGTAGGGCCACGCAGCAGCCTCGGCTGCACGTATGGGCAGGTCCGTCCGGGTAAGTACCCCGACCTCACAGAAGCCCAGCGTAAAGTGGAAGTATGACAAATACTTTCGCGTTTCGTCTGGTGAGTGAGGTAGCCGGAGCCCAATTTTCAAAAGGTTGTCAACGCATCTGTAACCCTCGGGTGTGGCAGATGTCCATGGGCGGCGGTATTCACTTAGCATCGGGTGAACCGTCTGTTCGTTTGGCAACTTTTCGCATAAAAAAAAAATTCTTCTTTATTTATATAAATCGTTATATTTCACAAATCATACAAAATAACTTTAAACCGTATTTGTGATAAAGTGACATTGAAGTAAAGAAAATGTCTGGACTAATAGACAAACACATCGATGTTTCTTTAGAATCAATAAAATCAGCAGGGAACCTAATAAAAGAAAATGTAAATCGAACATAGACTCAGCAGAGAGATTCCATTAACAATTTTGAAGTATGCCACATTAAACTATTTAATATTTGTATTCCATAAGAGAACTATAACAAAAGAAGATAGGAAGAAATCTACCGTTTAGATTCAGGGCTGGGGTGAACACGTCAGTTGTTTAAATATTCGACCTTGCACTTTCCACGCGTAGGGAAGATCTTGCTTAGCGCATTAAGTGTCTATAATAACTCGACCCAAACTTCAATTCTAAGCAATAATTATATTAACTCTTAGTTCTAAGCAGTCTTTTTTATTAATATTCGAATTGATTTTTCTCTTATTTCGAGAAACTTTGTATCATACTCCAAATTTGTACTTTCTAGATTATTTCGTGTTACTTATAATAATCGTTAAAAATTCTTATCTCATTTACACACACTTGTACGAAATGTTCAGGGATAAATAAAAAATAATAATGAGATATTATTTATTGGTTTGTTTATTATCTTCAAATAAATTATCAATAATAGAAATCTTATAGTATATAATATGCTATTAGTAGAAATATTTAAATGCAGTAATAAATATTT